CTTTTTATTCCTTACTATATTATGATGTTTTTTTGACTTTTTATGCCTTACTAATCTATGAATTTTCATGCCTTCCTATACTATGATTTTTTTATGAATTTACATGCCTCACTATATTATGACTTTTTTTATGCCTTACTATAATATGACGTTTTTCTTCATTTTTTATGCCTTACTATCATATGATGCTAGTTTCAATTTTTTTGATTGATTATACTATGACGTTTTTTTATGCCTTATTATAATATGTTTTTTTTTCATTTCATTCTTCACTATACTATGACATTTTTGAAAAATGTTTCATATGCCTTACTATAATATGACGTTTTTTTCATTTTTTTTTATGCCTTACTTTACTATGACGATTTCATGACATTTTCACAACCTACTATACTATGACATTTCTATACCTTAATATACTATGATGTTTTTATGACTTATCATAATTACTATACAGCACTATGTTGTTTTTTGATTTTTTTTCACAGTATTGTATTATGACCCTTTCGGATATTTTATGCCGGACTATATTATGAAAATTTTTTATTACATACATTATCATATTATCATGTTTTTTGATGTTTAATGCCTAACTATACTTTTATTTTTTAATGACATTTTATGACGTTTTTTTAAGTTTTTTTCCTTACGATACTATGATGTTAATATGACTTTTTATACATTACTATACTATCACATTCTTATACCTTACTATACTATGAATTTTTTATGACTTTTTAGGACATTTTATAACGTTTTATGTCTTATTATACTATGACATTTTTATACCTTACTATACTATGATGTTTTATGCCTTACTATACTATGACATTTGTTGACGTCTTTATAAATTACTATACCATGATGTTTTTATTACTGTTTATAACTTACTATACTATGACATTTTTATGACTTTTTAATACCTTATTATAGTATGACATTTGTTTGACGTTTTGATACCTAATTACATGATGTTTGATGCTTTATTTTACTATGATATTTGTTTACGTTTTTATGTCTTAAATTTTATGATCAATCATACTGTGACACCTTTGACATTTCTGTGCCGTACTATGATTTTTTTGTCTTATGCCTTAATATACTGTGATATTTAACCATGTTTCTTCGTCTAACAATAGTATGACCTTTGACATTTTTTTGCCACATTATACTATGACGTTTTTATAGTTTACTATACTTTGATTTTCAATGATGTTTATTTTCCCCAAATATGATGATTTTTGACTTTCATATGCCTTAAGTTAGATGAATTAGTATACTATAACGTCATTTTTACTTAGGTCTATAGAAATTAAATTATTCAGCAAGATCTAAAACCACTGATAAAAAAAAAAAAGCTCTGGAGCTATTTTAATGTCGATCATGTGAAAATAAATCTGGAGTCCAAATCACAAACAGATGAGCAGGTTTTGTGTGAGCAGCAGTTTTAATCAACAGTAACGGACCTCCTCCACCTCTTCCTCCTCTTTCACCTCTTCCTCCTCTTTCTCCTCTTCCTCCCCTTTCTCCTCTTCCTCCTCTTCCTCCTCACTCCCCAAACACGAACAGTCTGATCACTATATTTCTGTTACAAATAATTGGCAGCACACAAGTGAAGAAAAGAAGATATAACACAGCTCTTTATTTCATACAGCTCCTTTTTATCAATGTGTCCAGTCAGTCATGAATTTGCACCAGTGATGTCATTCTCCCACTTTATTGTTACTTTCATTATAATATCAAAGGTTTTGTATTGTTTTCCCTTGCTCTGATGATGTTTCTGTTGTGTATTTCTTTGTTTTTTAAAGTCTACTCTATGTGCCCTTTAAATTGCACGCTGGGAAAATAAAGTTTATTGATTTGAATTAAAGTGAAAAACTTAAGATTCATTAAAAAGAAAAAGAAAAAATTTAAAATACATTTTACACAGGCAGGAATTATCTTCCATGTATATGGAAGAAAAAGATACTCATTTATTTGCATTAAAATAAAAAAAAGGATTCACTGGAGACTCAGATGTTCAGATCAACAACACACTCAAGCTACAACCCTGGGTTAGCATAGCTTAGCATAAAGGCTAGAAACAAGGGAAACAGCTAGCCTAGCCTCTGTCCATCAATTATTGGCCATGGTGTTTTTAGAGATGTAACAATAAGTTGATCAACAAGATAAATAAGCCGAACTGTAGACTGAAATAATGGCTCTTTAAAATATTGTTAGTTAGTAAATATTGTTTTTCAGACGTAAGTTATATAAATAAAGCATAATATTAATCAATTGTAATTATTTATAGTTTCATTTATTTCATTATTATTATTCCATCTCATTTTACATTAACATTTTTAACATGTTTTTTTGGTCATGTGTTCATAATATTAAGTTGTAATATAAAATATAAGTAGAGCTGCAACAGGAAAATAATTGGCAAATATTTAGTTTCACTTTTTTCCAAGAAAAAATGCCACAATACATAAAAAAAGCTGTTTTCAGCCTCATAAATACGTTTTTAAAAAAACCTTCTCCCTGATAAATATTGTAAGTACATAATATTGCGTTTTTGACAAAACCAAACATTTGAAGACGTCACCTTTGGCTCAGAGAAAATTTAATTACTGGTAATTTTTCACTATATTCAGCTTCTTTATAGATTATATTTATTAAATCTACAATAATCAGTGATTAACCAATAATAAGAATAATTGTTAGTTGCAGGCTCAGTAATGATTAAACAGGATAACAATGGCCAGATTAATCAGTAATTGATATAATTAAATGCTTTTATAATCACTGAATTTTATTCCAACTAAAATCAAAAACAAAATAATGTAAATAAAACAAAAGTAAAAATAAAAAACTAAAGACAAAACAAAGACTCAATAACAGAAGAAGTGAAATCAGTTTTCTTGAATGAATAAAAGCGACACTCGTTCTCCTGATTCAAACTGAATGTAATAAATGGCTTCACAGCGCCGCCTGCTGGTAGAAACAACTTTGTGCAGCTCTGTGCTCGGCTCTTCACACTCACAGGAGTTTCATCTGGTAGTTTATTTCATCACATAAAGTGTTTAAGAATCATTTAAGACTCCAACAGCAAACCTACAAACTGTTAGAAATCACTTTGATTTCTTTAAAATGTAGCAGAAACAGCAGAAACACTCAGCGGCTCTTTGTCTTTTAGGATTAAATGCAGGAACATTTACAAATGACACCGATTCTGCAGAAACTTTCAAACAGTTTATTTCTCATTTTTCCACATGTGAAGTTTCAGTGTTGAAAACAGGAGTAAAAATCTAAGAGTGAACCTGTAGCTTCGTCGTCTCAGTCACTTCCCTTTAAACCAGCAGAAACCGACCTGAAGTGAAACCAGCAGGAAGCTTTGACACCGACTGTTTATCACAAATATCTGTACATAAAAAAAAAAATCAGCAACCAAAGAAATAAAAAGTGAAGAAATACAAACCAGAGACTTCAGTCGTCTGAGTTACTGAAACCTTTGATTGGCAACAACCATTGTTTAAATGTAAACACGACAGTCTCACTGAATTTCATGAAATGAGCCAAAACTCTCTGAAATACAAAATTAAATACAAGACAAATGATGTCACTATCACGTCACACATCGTCTAACATCATCAGATAATAACACAACCCGACACCATGTTTACATCAACATGGGAAACGATTACAGCTAATTAACAGTTTGGTTTAAGGGTTAAATTCTACTGAAAATAGTGATAGTTTCTAACTATTTAACATGCACCAAAAATTGCAACTTTACACTGGATTTCACTGTTTAACTAGAAAAGTTTCTACCACACAGGAAACGCTGCGTCATCAGTGCAAGTGTTCAAACGTAGCCGGTAGATTAGCGTCACGCAGCATGCACTGAACACATCATTTGCATTTGCAAAAACATTTTGCTCATTTCATCAAATGTTCTGGGACCAGCCTGAAAAACAAAAAAACTAAACAAAAAAAACTTGAATGAAATCTGATCTACATGCAGAAGAAAGAGAGAAGAGCAGATCACCTCCACGTCATGCAAACACATCACAAGTCTGAAGCAGAGCGACTGTTGAAGAAGAAAACTCCTCTCAGCTTCAAGTCTTTAACAAATCTGAGCAGACTCAGGTGACGACAGCGTCCAGTGTTTTACATCTGATTCCTTATCAACAGCTCAAGCTTGTTTTTTTATTTTACAAAATCTCATTAAACCACAGGAAACTGCGTTTTTGTTTCACTTCCTGCAGCTGCTCGACTCAGTGGCTTCAGACTCCTGAACATCAGCCCTGCAGCAGCTGCAACCACCAATCGATTGGTCGATCGTGGCAAAACAATTGGCAACAACTTTGATAATTGTCAGAATAAATGAACCACGTGTGAAGTTTTGTCAGAATTGCTAAAAAGTGTTCTGTGAGGTCACACTGACCTTTGACCTTTAGTCACCAAAATCTAATCAGTTCATTCTCGAGTCCAAAGTGAATGTTTGTTCCATCAAGGTGAGATATAGACAACCTGAAAATAAAATGGCCCCCGCTCTGACTGCGAATTGGACTCTGAGAAGCTGGGACAGATGTTTTCTCTGATTTCTGACATTTAATTCATTAACTGATTAATCAAGAAAAGAACTGCTGACTGCAGGAGTCATCTTAATGACCAGCTTCCAACTTCACCTCAACACTGAGTCGATGTTACGTCCAGTCTGTTGCTTAACAACAAAAGAAAATCAAACACGAGTCAGAGTCATTAGTTTAAAACCATGCAGACCCCCCTCCCCCCACCCTCCCCCCGCCCCCCGTCCCGTCCAAGTCATAGCGAAGCAACACAGCAGAGATAAACGCACTGAACCAAAGAGCCGACACTCAGTAAATTCTCGTTGGCACTTGATGCTGAATTCACTGTCACGACAGTCTGATGAGAAACAGGCGACACCCAAATAAATAGAAAAACCCACACACCCTCAAAAC